CAACTTTAGTGCTATAAAAAAGCAACTTCTTATTAGTATGTGTAGTATGATTGCATATCAACGAAAATCCCTTTGAAGTTGACTACCAAGTTAAATACCTTCACCCTTTAAGTTTACTACCATAACTAGCAAGTAGTCTATCATAACTAGCTTCGCCGCCAAGTTCATAGTATTGTAGGCAACTTAGTTTTCAAGGTAGGCTAACATTATCCTAAGGTGGCTACCATGACTAGCTAGTAGCTTAACATCATCATTAGTTGCATACAACTTAGTTTCTAATGCTACTGAGCATGCACTTATGGGCTAGCCCAGGTCGCGAGTGTTAGATGAGAAGTTGCATAGGGGGTAATGACAAGGGGACGGATTAGACAATTGCCCACAAACCTATACAAGTTCTTAATTTTCGATCGTGTAATCTGCGAAAATCATTAAAATCTTCAGATATAATGATGACAACACACATGAGTTGGCTAGCCAGGTCAAAACTAAACCCCATATGGATATGTTTCTTTGATAAAAAAAATTCAAAATCAACTGTGACGCTAGATGAGGCAACTTTAGTACTAAACAGAAGCAACTTCACTCCTAAAAATAACTAATTAGCAACAATAAACAACTAACTAAGAATACAAAACAACTTCGAAACAAAGGTGGATAATGTGACATCACCTTCGTAAGCAACTCTCCTTCGATAAGAGGCAACCTTAGTGCTAAAAGCAGGCAACTTCACTAAATTTTGTGTCCTAGTTAATTTATGTAATATTCTCCTAACTTCCTTATCGGTACTTCTAAGTTGCCTATTGTGCATGTTCGTATGTCGTCATTGTTTCTAAATGGCCTATAGTACTACGATATCGTCTACCGATGATGCTCTTGTGTCTACTATTGCTAGTTATGGTAGACAACATGATGGTGAATCTTGGCCACTTCAGAATGTTTGTAGGCAACTTAGAAAAATAATGATAAACAACTTCATAATATTGTAGGCAACTATTTTTGCAAAGTTAGGCAACTGAGAAGCAATTGTAGGCAACTAATTACCAATAGCAGACAACTAGGCATCAATATAGGCAGTTTATATCATTTATTGGTAACTGACCATCAACTGTAGGCAACTAAGCATCAACAATAGGCAATTGAGCAGCCATGATAAGAAAGTTTGGATAATGTTACCAAACTCACAAATACACATAGTGCAGTGAAGTTGCTTTGTATGTAGAACTATAGATGCCTTATGTTTTGCGTGATTTTTCTCGTTTTTACGCAAACCAACCTAATAGTCAGTCCAACTAGGCGAAAAAGAAGAAGTTGCTTCCTGTAGCATTATAATTGCCTCCATTGCATCCAAAATTGCCCTCAAAAAAAGTTTGAGGAAACCTACTCATATGAGATCTAGTTTTGAAGAACTCATCGTCAGAAATCTGACGGTGAAAACGGAACTGGATTTCGATGCTTGAATCAAAAGTTATGGCTTTTATAACTTTTTAAACCCCCAAATAAATGCACGTGGGGACAGGATTTAGGCTGATTCAATCGGCACCCATGTATGCTATGAGATGTGGCCAAACAATTTTCTTTTCTAGGGTAGACAGCTGGACACAAAGACATGCACTTATTATATACGGTGATGCGCTCTAGACAACAAACGAGTGCAGTGGCGCTCCCTAGCCACGTCCACTTTTTTATTGTGGGGGAGATCTAAGATGCCTTTGTGCGTTTTGTCACGCACAAAAACACACGATGTAATAAGCCAAGACAATATCAATTTGCACATGGTGCGTTGGATTCATTGATGAGTTCAGTTCATTTTTCACCTACGCCTTTTATTTCATATTGTATATATATTCGCGGAAGCATCCTAGGTACCACACTCTTCTCTCATCGACTACTCTTCCTCCACCACTTCGACCTACGATGCTCCGCGGCATCCCTAGATAGGATAAAGAAGATATATCTCCATGGCTTGTCAAACTCATGTGTTACGTTCCTATAGCTAGGCATGAGAGGGGTCAGGACTACATTTTGTTGTGCACGAGCTAGTAATGGCACAGAGGAACCCCATCCGAGTCGAGCCTGCCAGTAATATAGCCGAGGCAGTGGTTCATGCAGGGGGGTATATTTTTTCCCAAGAACATGCAAGAACGTTGCATGTCTTTTCTATTAAGGATAGGAGAGAAACGTTCACAACGTACAAGCTATGGCATCACAGGCGACGGACACAGCGATGCACGACACATCACCCAACCATATGCATTTCCAAGCCTAACCCAGCAAGGTGCTCAACGACGCGAACAGTACATCAGGTGAAGCAGCCACTGAGCAGGATCGGTAGCTTCTGCGTACATGTATTGCAAGAACTACACGGTCTCTCCATTTTGTCACATGCTGCGCCGCCCAATGGTTTTGTTCTTGTTGGCTGAAATACAATGTATACTCTCCATCATCCTAAGCACGGCATGTACCATAAAAGTAAGTGTGCGTGTGCGTGCGCGTGACACTCTATGATCTACACCTGGTCTCGAAAAAATGCGCAAATGTTTTCTGACCTGACTAACCTCCATGCCCTATGAGTTTTTAAAAAAAAAATCATTGACCTCTATTTACACTGATGAAATCACACTAGTATTTTAAGCTGTTTGAGCTACCGGCAAGAGCACTGATAGTGTCCAAGGGAGGACAATCTCAATGCTCATATAGTGCACAGGTTTAATTTGACAATCAATATCTTCCAAAATATTTCAATTCTGTACTTGAAAATCACATGTGCATCAATTGTTTCGGAAGTACTATCACATACGTAATATTTGTTAGGTTCTACAAATCTGTTTTCGCCGAAATTAGTAGTTGGAGTTGTGTTTTGGATATCGATGCCGATGTCCAAACAACAACTTCTATTACAGTCTGAGGGAGTAATTGCAAGTCCCATAAAAAAAGCCAACACATAAGTGCATTACTTTATGAAAAACCCAGTGATTAAATAATAGAGCCGGCAAAGGCCTACTGGAAAAAATAATGAAAAACTACTAAAATCAACGGGAAAATGTTTGTAAGATAACTTGGTTTCTTGTCATTGAACAATGAACAGACACGATCAAGCATGTGTTTGATCATTGTGACAGTTATAGTTTTCCCCATTTTGTTAGCCATATTGTCCACATGTCATATACTTAATTTCTTGGAAGAACTTCCACACTATGGTGGTTATTTTGTCCACCACACTTTCAGTGGTCACACCAATTCTCTAAGTT